AAAAAAGGAAAATGAAAAAGAAAATCATGTATTTGTCATTTTAAATACAATATTTCAATTAATTTTATAAACTATAATAGTATATTATATTTAACAAAGTAATCAAATACTTGTATGTTTACATGGTTAAATGTAATAAATTTGTCTTGTTCTCAATAAATTGAAGATCGACTTTTCAATAGTTAAATAAATGGTTTTCACACATGAGAATCAAATTTGTATATTTTGAAAGTTTAGGAGCCAACATGCCTTATTTAGTAGGTTGGGATCTTAAACACAATCCGCAAAGGTTGGGAACTCCAAGTCTCCAACTAGAGATTACCCAAAACAAAAGAAATGATCAAAGGAAGGAAGAAGGAAAAAATCAATACATCCCACTCAAGGATGGAAGTAAACATTTTGAGTTAGGAAGCATAATTAAACTTTGTACAAATCGAATATTTTGTTCTTGATTTTTGAATGATTCATACTTGATTCGAGACAATGCAGATTTACATTTAGAAAATATTTCTTCATTAATATTTTGCTAATAATTTTCATCCATTTGATTTCGAATAGTCATTTTATTAATGTTTTATTCATCACAAGAAAATGCATATTTATATTTCAAAATCTTATAATGTATTTAATACAAGCAATCAATTCAAGAAATCGAAAGGAAAAACATATAACTAATATTCAATACTAATAATCAATCAAATAAATACAAATTTGCTAAATATAAGTCAAATTGGATATAATAAATTNTACCCATGTTTAGTGGAGATTACAATCAAATTTTTAGTAAATTTTGATAAAAGTTAAACAGTTATGGATTCCATGAAATATGTTATTAAAATTAATTGTTAACTTTGATTTAGATTAAAATTTAGATTTCAATCAATACAAAATATGACTGTATCAATAAAAAAAATAATTATGAAATCTCAAAAGTTGGGGGGTCATGTGACCCCACAGCTCCCATGGGTATGCCAGTGATCCCACTTGTGGCGTCTAACCTAGTTCTCGCCATTCAAGTTTGCCCCTCATATGCCCCCATTCGGAGTTCAAAAATAACGCCGACGACTATAAATTATCCATGAGTACCAAATGCTCAAGATAGACATTCCATTCTTGGATATGCAACGAAGGAGTTGGGCGATGGGGAGGCGATAGAGGTGACTGGGTAGGGGAGATTTTCTATTTCTTGATTTGCTTTCTATATAAAAATGAGATATATACAATGCATGTGATGACAAAAACTCGCATTTAGTACAGATCTATTTGTACTAAAGACATAAATGTTAGGTATTTTAAAAATTAGGGAATATTGATTTTTGGCCTATTTGCTTCATTTGAAAAGTTTGAAGACCGCGTTTGCAAAATTCTCAACTTATAATAGGTTATGTGATTAAATAAGTTAAGTTAAATATTTTTCATTGTACCTCCTTATATATTTTTAAAATAAGCAATTCTTTTTCTAAAAAAAAATTATATAACAAACTGAAAATATAATTTTAATTAAGTTCGACTTATATTAAAATATCCAAAGACAGTACAAGAAGATAAAGGCTGAGACTTTATTATAAAGTTTGAAAGAAAACTTTTATTGACAAAATCCATTTTTTTTCTCCAATTCCATGTGCCCCTTTCGTTTTCCTAAAACTCATAAAAAATTATACTTTTTAACTTAGGAAAAATTGCAGCAAAAGTCCCAAAACTTTTTTTTTTGTTGTAAAATATACCTTATCCTTTTATTTTTGTGGTTACAGCCCCAAACCTTTTACTTTAATGGCAGCCGGAGTTTATTGGATGGATTCCATCCAGAATCTCGTTAGTCAACACTGAAATTGAAATTTTAACTCAAATTGAAAGATTAAATGAGGGGTAAAATGGACAATTTATATTCCTATAATTAAATTAAAAAAATGAACTTCGTCTTCTACAAATCACCCCACCCCCACTTCCAATTCCAAAATAAAAAACTAGAACTCAGTGAATTCTTACAACTAGCACTAACCAATGTTGCCACATCAACACCACCCAACCACTGTCCTCAATCAAATAATTCTACTTTACTTGTTGAAAACCACCCAGTGATCTTTGTCAATGCCACCCTCAATCAAAATTTCCCCTAAAACGCCAACTATCCTCCATCAACACCACATTGATGAAAGAATTCTACTTTTCTTACTCATTGTCTAGCATCAACCTCAAAAAATTTCAAATCTAATTGGGGAAGTAGATCTACTTACTCTTCATCTAGCAGCAACGCTAAAAATAGAAATTTTGGAAAAAAAAAAAACCAAAACTAATTGGTGAATCTGCTTTGTATGCTCCGCATTCCTCACTGCACTCTTGGGGAGTGCTTTGGGGTTCAAAAGGTTCTCAAGAATAAGGTGCTGGCAAATAGGCTTGATCGGAGTGGAGTGACATTGGGTTTTGGATTGGTCGCCAAACTGTAACAACAGCCACTTCTAGCTCTCTTCAACACTACCTCGCGGTGGTTACTAGGTCGACCATCGCCTGGAGCCGAAGCACTGCCTTCCGGGAGCCATGAATAATGCACTCAGTGTAGTTAAATGGCTACAAACACACGCTCTATCGAATAGTGCGAATTCATGGTTATAAGACAGGGTTGATTTAGATCGGGTTTCATGGTAGGGGTAGAGAGGGGTGGGGGTTTGGAGAAGATGATTTTTTTGATTTAATTATTTTATTATAGAAATACAAATTAACCATTTTACCCCTTATTTAATATGTCAATTTGAGTCAAAATTTCAATTTCAATGTTGACTAACGGGATTCTGGATGGAATTCGTCCAATGGACTCCATTTGATATTGAAGTAAAACGTTTGGGATTACAACCACAAAAATAAAAGGTTAAGGTATATTCTACAACAAAATTAAAGGTTTGAGACTTCTGCTACAATTTTCCCTTTAACTTATTCGTAATATTTCATTAGCCCATGTTTGTAAGAATTAAAATCTAAAATTTAAATTATTTTAACCACATATTTTCATGAAATATACAATTTTTCAACCACATATTTTATTAATTTTGGGTGCCCTTATTTACATCCACAATTGTTATATATTCATCCCACTCTATATCCATACCTATTAAAATATTAATATTTTATATTTTCATCAACGTCAAATTCTAATATTGTCCATATTAAATTCATTCATTTAAACACTATAGATCCACACAAATTTTATATATTAATCTTATTCTAAATATATCTCTAATACAATTTCAAAAATTATAAAAAATCACTATATTCATCCAAACTTTAATGTAAAGTAATTGAGAAGGCAATCCGTGTTAGAGCTAAAAGCCATTAATCGTGGGGGCAAGACTCCCATCTCTTCGTTCTTTCATAAATAAAAATAAAAATTGTTAAAAATTTGTTTTCATGTATTTTCTGGTAATACAAAATTCATCAAATTCCGGTCAAAAGCGATGCCTCACCGCATGGAATGTTATTTCTTCTTCCTTTGGAATGAACAAATTTTAAAAAATTAAAAGGGTTAATATTTTGTTAAGAGGCGTGAGGAAAATATTAAAAGAGAACAAGAGAATTGAGAAAAATTCAAATTTATAGTGATTTTGCCTGTATTTGGTAGAGATTAAAATCAATTTTTTTTGTAAATTTTGATAAAAGTTAAAACAGTTATGAATTCCATGAAATATGTTAATAAAATTAATTGTTAACTTTGATTTAAATTAAAATTTAGATTTCAATCAATACCAAACATGACTGAATCAATAAAAAAATAATTATAAAATCTCAAAAGTTGGGGGGTCATGTGACCCCACAGCCCCCATGGGTATGCTAGTGATCCTACTTGTGGCGTCTAACCTAGTTCTCGCCATTCAAGTTTGCCCCTCGCATGCCCCCATTCGGAGTTCAAAAATAACGCCGACGACTATAAATTATCCGTGATGTACCAAATGCTCAAGATAGACGCTCCATTCTTGGATATGCAACGAAGGAGTTGGGTGATGGGGAGGCGATAGAGGTGAGTAGGTAGGGGTGATTTTCTATTTCTTGATTTGCTTTCTATATAAAAATGAGATATATACAAGGCATGTGATGACAAAAACTCGATGGTATGCATTTAGTAGAGATCTATTTGTACTAAAGACATAAATGTTAGGTATTTTAAAAATTAGGGAATATTGATTTTTGGCCTATTTGCTTCATTTGAAAAGTTTGAAGACCGCGTTTGCAAACTTCTCAACTTATAATACGTTATGTGATTAAATAAGTTAAGTTAAATATTTTTCATTGTACCTCCTTATATATTGTTAAAATAAGCAATTCTTTTTCTAAAAAAAAAAATTATATGACAAACTGAAAATATAATTTTAATTAAGTTCGACTTATATTAAAATATCCAAAGACAGTACAAGAAGATAAAGGTTAAGACTTTATTATAAAGTTTGAAAGAAAACTTTTATTGACAAAATCCATTTTTTTCTCCAATTCATGTGCCCCTTTCGTTTTCCAAAAACTCATAAAAAATTATACTTTTTAACTTAGGAAAAATTGCAGCAAAAGTCCCAAAACTTTTTTTTGTTTTAAAATATACCTTAACCTTTTATTTTTGTGGTTGCAGCCCCAAACCTTTCAATTTAGTGGCAGCTGGAGTCCATTGGATGGATTCCATCTAGAATCCCGTTAGTCAACACTGAAATTGAAATTTCAACCCAAATTGAAAGATTAAATGAGGGGTAAAATTGACAATTTATATTCATATAATTAAATGAAAAAAATGAACTTCGTCTCCTGCAAATCACCCCATCCCCACGTCCAATTCCAAAATAAAAAACTAGAACTCAATGAATTCTTACAACTAACACTAACCATTGTTGCCACATCAACACCGCCCAACTACTGCCCTCAATCAAATAATTTTACTTTGCTTGCTGAAAACCCCCTCAATGATCTCTGTCAATACCACCCTCAATCAAAAATTTTCCTAAAACCCCAACTATCCTCCATCAACACCACTATCAATGAAAGAATTCTGCTTTTCTTACTCATTGTCTAGCATCAACCTCAAAAAATTTCAAATCTAATTGGGGAAGTAGATCTGCTTACTCTTCATCTAGCAGCAACGCTAAAAATATAAATTTTGGAAAAAAACCAAAACTAACTGGTGAATCTGCTTTGTATGCTCTGCATTCCTCATTGCATTCCTAGGGAGTGCTTTGGGGTTCAAAATGTTCTCAAGAGTAAGGTGTTGGCAAATGGGCTTGATCGGAGTGGAGTGGCATTTGGTTTTGGATTGGTCGCCAAACTGTAACAACAGTCGCTTCTGGCTCTCTTCAACACTACCTCGCGATGGTTACTAGGTCGACCATCGCCTGGAGCCGAAGCACTGCCTTCCGGGAGCCATGGATGATGCACTCAGTATAGTTAAATGGCTACAAACACATGCTCTATCGAATAGTGCTAATTCATGGTTATCAGACAGGGTTGATTTAGATTGGGTTTCATGGTAGGGGTAGAGAGGGGTGGGGGTTTGGAGACGATGAATTTTTTGATTTAATTATTTTATTATAGAAATACAAATTGACCATTTTACCCCTTATGTAATATGTCAATTTGAGTCAAAATTTCAATTTCAATGTTGACTAACGGGATTCTTGATGGAATCCGTCCAATGAACTCCAGTTGATATTGAAGTAAAACGTTTGGGATTACGGCCACAAAAATAAAATGTTAAGGTATATTCTGCAACAAAATGAAAGGTTTGAGACTTTCACTACAATTTTCCCTTTAACTTATTCGTAATATTTCATTAGCCCATGTTTGTAAGAATTAAAATCTAAAATTTAAATTATTTTAACCACATATTTTCATGAAATGTACAATTTTTCAACCACACATTTTATTAATTTTGGGTGCCCTTATTTACATCCATAATTGTTATATATTCATTCCACTCTATATCCATACATATTAAAATATTAATATTTTATATTTTCATCAACATCAAATTCTAATATTGTTACGCCCTAGATCTTGATGTCGAAACTAGAGTTGGTTAATTATAAGTTTGTGAAAACCTGTGACTAGATCGTCCTGAAGACGGGTGCGACGGGAAGAAGCGGCATTGGGAAGTGTTGCTGACTTAACATTTAGGTTTCGGCATAACAAAGCTTGCACTGTCTTAATTATTAGGATTTTGTGATTTTAGTTGAAGATGATATTTTATGATTATTAAAATTTTAGTTAAATACAAATTCTAAAAGAATATAAAAGTGGTCAAAAGAATTTAATGAAAATAAATATTAGTGGATAAATTTAAAACAATATAATTCCCATAATTTTTATCAAAGTTTATTAAAATTTCTGCTTTTATTCCCATTAGATCGAAAATTAGAATTACTTTTATATAAAAAAAGCCTGTGTAAAAATAAAAATAAAATCTACTTTACTCTTCAATTTTTCCTATTCTCCAAAAACCCCTACTTTCTTCTGTCCCTTTGGTTTTTCAACGGAAGATCTTGACAGAATCTATTTGTTGCAATGCAATCCCATGATTTTACCTGTCACTCCTCCATAGACCCGGCTGCGACCGATCCTTCCACCATGTCCCAGCCCTCTTCCCCGATCCACGCTTCTAAAAACCCTCAAAATAACGGAGCCCATGTCGAAAATAATGAGAATTTTAAGGAAAATGATGTCAAGAATTGTACTAGTGATAACAATGGGAGTGATAATGTAGTGGGTAGGAGGGAAAGACCTTCAAGGGCATGCACACAGCGGGCGGCGGCAAGGTTGCAGGCTGCTGCGGAGGTGGAGGCTGCTATGGCTGAGGACGAGAGAAAGCGGAGAAAGGTTAAAAGGAAGGAGAGGTTGACAGCCCGGCTGCTGAAGGAGGAAGATGGGGTGGAGGAAGAGGAGGAGGAGGAGGATGGGTCCCCTTCTTCGTCGAGGCAGCCTTCAAGTAAGATAGTGACCCCTTTGGTAGGGGAGCCGGAGCCCTCGCAGTTGCCACGGTGGAACATCCGGTCAATGTGGCAGTTGGCATCAATACTTAATTTCTTGAATGTATGCTTTAAGCTTGAGAATAGATTATAGATTTAAACTTTGTGTTAAGTTGGTGTTTCATGACTACTTTGTGTTCTTCTTGTGTTGTGGTGTGTAGGTGTTTAGGCCTTTATTGAATATAAAAGTGGATTTTTCTGCGGAGGAGTTCGAGACAGCTTTGATTACACCAAATAATACTTTGGGGGATATACATATGCCATTGTTGAAGGTTAGTGCTGTTTATGATTGAATGTTATCTAAAATTGTAGTTTTAATTTTTCTCTGAGCTTTTGCATGTTACTTTCTGACTTGTTTTGATTGAATCTACATGATGTTTGGTGAAATTTTTTGTTTTTCTATGGTTGTTTTCAGAAATTTAGGTGTTTTTTCTTTTACTTTGTAACTCTGCATCCTCTTTTATAAATAAATGTGGTATAATATCTGCCTCTTACTTTGGACTTCCAGTATATTATGTTTATCTGAACTGCAAGCTGTCTTATGGGGATTCATTCTATGTATATTTTACTGCTGAAGAATTATGGATTAGTAAGATCAGATTTTATTGACTATTCTGCCTGAGATTCATGCCGAAGCATGGTGAATTGAGCATCAATATTTCCTGAGGAATATTATAATGCATCGATTGTTGGGATGGACATGATTCGTATTTGGGATTTTTATTTTCAGTTTCTTAAAAATAGTATTCAGAATTTGTTATTTTTTATTTGAAGAGCACATGTACTGCCATTAATATTTAGGTCAATTTTCTTTTACATATCTGCTAGCACTTTCTGGTTTGAAGCAGTTTCCAGAATCAGGATTAGTTCATCGTGTGACAATGCTGATTTCTGTTTTAAGTGTGCCTACTGTACCTATCCCATCATGATCAGAAGAGGAGGAGAACCTAATGGAACTCTTTTTTCTGTCTTTCCTTGTAAAGAAGTAGCATGTGCATGCCCTTTAATTTCTGCTAGTGGATAAGCAATGGCTGCTTCACAGGCTATCTTTCTTTTGAATATGTTTGTAGTAGAAAGAAAAACTGGTCAGGTTTTTTTGAGCATGCCTATGATAGTTGAAGACAAAACAAATCGCTAACCAACTCAATATGGGGTTTTTTTTTGGCTGATTAGCTGGCAATGTTGGATAATAATTGGATTTTATCAAGAGCTTTTGAAGAACACTTCGCCACTTTATTTATTGATATTAAAAAGATGCACTAATACAAGAGAAGCTTGACTATGGAACGTGCTTTTGAACATGTTATGGATGGATCAGAAGCAAGATGATTTGAGCTTGGGTGGAATAGAGTCAAAGCCAACCGTGTAAAGAATTTCATGTGAGATTGGAAGTATGTAAAATGCTTAATCTCTTAAAAAATACTCAGTAACTTACATGAATTTTCTCGTGTGCCATAATTGAACTCTATAATAGTTAAGGATACTTGACACTGATTTTATCTTCTTTTTTCAACTTGGTATAATGATCTGCAATATTATTCCTCATGGAGCTACCATCTGTCCCTCCACTCCCAAGTTTCAGTTATGTATTATATGTTCACGAATTTGGTCTATGATTTCTTTGAGAGTATTCTATATTTATTGAGCAGGCGTGTGATATTGTTTGCTTGAAATGGCACTCGCTGCCAGATATTATTCTGTGAGATTTTCCCGATTAATTGGAATTAAACCTCGTGAATATTATTATTTTTCCCCTTATTATTTGGATGTAATAAAATTTCCGAAAACATTTTTATGATGGTCATGTACATAAATACGTTGTATTATTGCTTTTAAGATTGTATTGTATGATTCTTTTCTTTTCATTTCTCTTTTATTTTTTTGGTGATGCGGGAGAAGTTAATCACAAGTCGTAAGTTCTTGTGGGTTGGTTTCCTTGGGTAGTGGATACTCCAGTCCGTTCCTTGCAGTAATAGTTGAGTTGATATTTGGAATTTATTTATTCTCTTTGGCGGATATAGTGGATTTAGCAGAATTGCTTTTATGATTTCATTTGAACAGAGAATCGAGCTGTAATCTATGCGCAAAAAAAGTTTGTCCCTGAAGGAGAGTTCTTAAGGTTATTATTTTCTTGTGCAAAGATAGTGTTCACCTATATAGTTGTATCCTCTAAAAGTACCCTTATGGCCTAGAGAATTTGTGTAAAAATATTTGCTATGAGCGGGTATTATATTTTGGTAAGATATATATGATGGAATGGGGCAAGGAAGTTGTCTTTTCAATCAATTCAATGGACAGGCAACTGTAATGTTGGGCAATAACTTTGTGTCACTTGTGCAAAAATCACGGCATGATGGAAATAAGTTATTTCTCAATTTGGGTATTTGTTATATTGGAGCCACAAAGATCAAAAGATTGTCACAGTTCTAACTGAATCATTTCTGGACCAAAAATACTGAAGCACCTTATGGGAGGAACTATTTTTAAAGACTAGACATGACTGTTTTCTTTAATATACTGGACGATGTACAGCCACAATATTTTGTGTTAGTATTTTTTAACCATAAACAAAACTAATGGAGGATTGTTCGTTTGCAAGTTGGAGTAGGAGATCGAATACCAAAAGAGATTCAAATTCTTGGAGTGCTTTGGTGGTGTTGATATTCAAAATTATAATGATAATAACAATATTGGAGGATATACGGAAAAAGAATGGCAAGAGAATTAGAGACGGGAGAAATTGGAGAAATTGAAAAGAGGAGCAAATGTAGTGTGTGTGTGAGAGAGAGAGAGAGACCAACGTAGGGCAATTTTAGTACTTGGTTCAGATTCCATATTTAAAATCGTGTTTTTGACATAAACAACTTTAAATGGAACCACGATTATGTCTTGTGTGGTGAGGGAAACAACACTGTTTGGTCTATTCTAGTACTTAATGGCGATACGTTGACTTTTACGTAGTTTTTCTAACCGAGTGACCTGTTCAATGACTATTGACTGATTAAGTAAGAAAATTAGTTTAATGACTAATTTGAAATTTCATAGTTCATAAAATTTCAGTGACAATAGATGAAATTAACTCATAAATATATAGAAAATTATTTTTGTACATCACAATTTATAGATTCTTTTACAATTGATGAGGTGGCAAAACAAAAGTGAGAGAATTTTCTTTTATTGGTTAGTGAGATTTTGACTCAATCTTATCTCACTACATATCTTCCATTGGTAATCAAATTTGTAAACTGTGATGTATATGTAGCACAACTGTAAATATATACATACACAAAAACTATAAAATCATAAAACAATAGAATTTTAGTTTTTCGTATTAGAAATTCAAAGTAAATATAAATTCATGTTTGTAAATTGGATTCATTATTCTATAATTTGTTTCAACACTTTAAAATCAATATGTTCAAATAATTTGCTTTGTACAAATTGATATTGTTTGGGGTATACAAAAATGGTGTCTAGCTGATTTTATGCTAATAATGAAGTGCAACTTGTTGTACTCAATAGGTTGAAGTTAAAAATTAAATAAATAAATGAAAAGAATCAGGCAAGCATTAATGACTTTGCTTGGGCCTACGATCAAATAAATGGAAAGAATGAGGTAAACTGGAAACATTTAAAATTGGCTTTTGCTGGGCAGTTGGATACTTTAATTATCCCGCATTGGAATATTGATAGTGGCATTGGAGGAGGAGCATCTATTAAAAAGAGCAGCGGGTTGGGTTAAATATCTATTCAGGCCTGCTTATGTAGTTCATGTGCCCTTTTTTATAGTTGAATTTTTCTAAGAAAAGAACCTGGTAAACCAGTAAAACCATGACCGCTTTTCCAGGGGTCACTGAAAAAATCAGCCGATTCGGTGGTTCCCTTATCGGTTTTTCTATTTCCAGTTATAACAAATAACCTGACAAGATTTGGGTCCGGGTCCCTGTTGAACCGGCTAGTCAAGTTCGGTTTTCATAACATTACAAAATATATTGCCAAATGGGGATTACAAGATTTATATGGAAGGCAAATTAATACTTCCCTGAATCGAGGGTGATGGATTAGGTGATTTTCTTATCATTTAACAATTGTTCTTGAAATTCTCTTTTTCCTTAAGTAATAAGAACCAGACCAGTGAGTTTAGAGCTTTATCAACTCAACGAGTCACATGCAGATAACTAGGAAGCCTAAGATCCTAGTAGAAATGCAATGTATACTTGGCTCTTTTCCCTAATATTTGGCTGAGATCTGCTATGGGCTACGCAATTTTCTGTCAACTATTGGGTATTCTAGTTGTTGATCGTCAATGCAACTTCATCCACTTGTTTTCCTTTGGGGACATTACGTTCAAGGTAATTGCCCCTTACTTCAATATCATGATTATTTCATAATTTTTTCCTCTTATTAAGCTATTTATGATTGGTGAAGATGCTAAATTGATTTCCTCTCATAAGAAAGTTCTCCAGTCCGCAGTGCATATTTTTTTTATTTGTTTTACATCTACTGTTCTTGATTTTCATTATGTCCGTGTCTTTCTTTATCTCTATTATCACTGAGAAGTTCCTGAAGTATTTTCTCATTATGTATCGTCTTCCATTATTAGAGCTTTTCTTATCTTCAATGGTTGCTTTTCCATAGGCTATTCCTCCTGTCACTAGAATGGCGCTTGGACATGGTACTTGGATTACCATTTTGTGCAGAAAACTGAAAGATTGGTGGCATTGGGTAATTTAAGTACTAGATCCTGAACAGAATTTTGATGAATGACTTAAATAAAACCCGCTTTCTAATGATACCAGTTGGATTTCCGTGGTTTGGGGTTTCATTGCAGGTTGCAGAGGGGGATCTACCTATTGTTGCATCACATGGGTGAGTAGATGTGCATCTTGAGAAAATTCTGAATATTTCTATTTATTCTTGGGTTTTTGGAGTGAGTTTGTCCTTGTGTCTGATTTTGACTGATATTATAGGGCTGAAATTGAGGCATACAATGCACTTTATCCTGGGGTTCGCGTGGTGATTCTGAAAGCATTATGCGATATTCGTGTTGCGGTATCTACTTGTTTGACTCATATTTGCTTATTACTTTTTATCTTAATATTTATTCAAGGGAAGTTCTTCAAAATGTTGTTTCATAGATGAAGTGAGTAGTTTGTTGCATTCTTAATACAGTAATTTAAGGTCCAACTATTTAGTATTCGTGATGCTGTGGAACACTATTGACAACATTACAATCTATGAAGCGTAGACGTAGATACATGAACACACCAATGCATGAATTTTTTGAAATAGTAGGATGCGAACATGTCAATTTAAATTATTAAAACTTGCAACTTTCATTTAAGGTAACACTACCCTTTCTATAAAATGAATACCATTTTAGCTTTTATTTTTGCTGGTAGAAATCTTGAAACAAGTGACTTTTTGTATTAAAATAATCCTGGGTCAAACTTTATATTACTATTGCTAGAGAACGTCTGAGAAAGGATTCGTGTTTCTTATCTCAAATTTATTAGGAATGAAGTTTAGACGTTTTCCTGTTGTTTTAAGGAGACCCAAGAGAGCATAAATTTGTCATATATTGCTGAATACTGAACTCTTCCTGGTACAGCCTGGTAATGGGTTGTTATTTGAATACGAAACTCAAATGCATCAATAAACGAAATTACTTTTGAAGTTTTACTTAAAAGATTGTATTCTAAAAACATGCCAATTTGGCTGCATCTTGGTAGTTTCTTTTTAGTGCACCTTCTTCTATGTGATGCTTAATTGATATAATGGTCTCATACTGCAGCAAGAAGATATTCGGAACTATATAGACAACTCAATAAAACATGGCGTCCACCTTTCAGCATTTCGCAAGGAACGCATCGGGGGTGATTCTCATGGAATCTCATATTGGTAATTTCTTCCAGTAGCAAAATGCTCAGGTGTTATCGTTTTCATTTCCAGTATTCTATGACCCTAAAATTTGTCTTGGTTCACATGAGCAGTGAATTATATTTTCCATTTCATCCATACACATATTCAATTGAATGTTCTGATGAGAGTGCTCAGTAAAATATTTGTTATTTGTAGGTATGAAGATGATCCTATCATAGGTCATCGACTGTATCGTGAAATTAGAAAGGTTGAGATAAAGAAAGGAAAAGGAAAGAATGTACCTCCTATTCCTCATTCATCTTACCAGTGGGAAGCAGTTGCTACTAATTTGGATGAATTCCAGACTGTTTCAGTAAGTTATTGTTGTGTTCGGTTTTTCATGTCACCATTTAGTGCTACTTAAGAGAATGCCAAATGCTTGTTTTATTTTTAATTTCATTTAAATCAATAAAAGTTTCCTTTTTCATTTTCCTTCTATTATTAGTATTTTTTTCTTTCCTTTCATCCGTTGGATTGTATTATTATATATAGAGCTTATTGTTTATGAATAAAATCATTCAGCCTAAATTTCACATAGGTATCAAAGCTTTGGTTGTTCCTGTATCACTAAAATGTTGACAAGTCCTCTGACGATCCTCTACCTTTATTTTGCTCCAGCGACTCTACCTCCTCTATCTCGCTTCGGCGGAACCTCTACCATCTATTTTCCGGCAAACCTCTAACCACTTGAAAAGTGAAAATTACGGTTTTGAAATTGCAAACCCTAGAACCCACGATGCACTGACACGGACACGCGTCGGATACATCGAAACGCAATTTTTCAAAAAATTACTGTCACGACACGTTGATTAAATTTTTTAAAATTCTTCATTTATATAGTATAAATTTAATTTTATACTTGTTATTAATTTTTCTTGTTGAAATCTTTCAAATATGAGTATCTACTTATTATTTAATAATAACTTTAAGTTAAAAATATATACTATTTTCGATAAAGAAAGAAAATGACTATTGTAGAGTGATCGAGTGTTGATATTCGACACGTCGGACACGCTCCCAGTTGAAGTGTTCGTGCTACAGAGCCTAAAACCCACATCAAACCCTAATTTTTCAAATTACATCAAGATAACTCTTTTTTACTGTATCACAAACTTCTATGAGGTTGTCAGTCATGGAATTTATGAGCCAAGGCTTGACTAAAGCATCTTCAGTCTCCCGTTCATCATAACTTAGATCCTTCTTGTTGGGTGCAGCCTTCCGTCGGGTGATATAGCTCCTTTTTCTTCCTACACGTAAGAAGGGTATAAAAACTACCAAGAGAGAAGTTCAAATGTGAAAATAGCACGTAGGAACTAAATCCATGTCGTTTAATACATATATGAGTTTGTATTTTGTATTACAAACGTGTTCGTCTTGTAATTGTTTGGATTTAGGGATCAATAAGTGTAGAACTTAGACCATCGAGAAAATTGACAGATGTGAAAATCAGAAATGGAGCGAGCACAATTAGTGGTGAATAGAAGCTGCAGAAAAAAGACCACAATCAATAGACTTTAAAAAGTATCTCAAGAAAGAAGGATGAACTTTAGCATATCTAATCAGGAAGATGACTTCGAGATAAAAGCAGAGGGGAATAAATTTGACAATCAGAGGAGAGCATGATAGGATCCAAATCCTAGTTAAGTAGCCTGGACCAAAATAAAAAATAAAAAAATTCACCATTCTTAACAATCCGTATCTGTTGCCTGTGAAATAATTTAAGCCTCCATTGTCTACTTATTTTCTTGTAGAAAATCTCTGATGGTCAGAAGTGCCTCCAGTACTAGTTATCTTTATTTATAACAAATAATCTGCTTCTCATAATTATTATGAAAAATATGCATGGTTAACAATGAAATATTGCATTAGGCCTTCTAGGGCTGGACAAAAGTCCCGAACCGAATCGAGCGGTGCTTCATAAATTAAATACCCGAACGGGTATTTGAATCGAGAACCGATGTGTTTGGTTCGGTTCTAGGCCAAGAACCGAATCTAAATAATTTTTTTAAATTTTTTATATTAAATTAATTAAAAAATTTTAATTTTTTCTAAACAAATTAGCAAATTTAAATAATTTTCTACTTTTTGGTATTTGTATATATTGAATTAATCTTATCGGACTGAACCGGACCATGTCCAGCCCTAAGGCCTTCTGAATGTTTCTTTTATGAGGTATACCTTAAATATTGAATGTGCATGAAATGTGCCTTTTTATTGAGGTGCATCTCGGACCTTTGAGACTCATTCCTTATGCTTGATGGTCTTCGAATGCTTTACATGCTCACTGCCAAGCTTGGACTAGGAGTTTGCATTTTCTTTCGATGTTTCGTGTCTGTACTGAATTTTACCCGTATTTTGCAGGACAAGCTCTTTTCAAGCAAAAATAGAACAGAGATTTCAGTTGGGAAGAAATTGAAAATTGACATGCTTCCTGAAATTGAGAAGGTCCATAAGGTGCTCTCTTATATTCCAATAATCTTTAATATTTTTTTCTTATTTTGAAATCATTGGACCAAATTGAACCCCTACCAATCCAGTCTGATCATCCTTCATTTCATTAGAAGAATTATTAGCTCTTTGGTGTTATGCACACTAAGATGTGCTCTTTGCACAGAGGAAAGAGAAACTGTTGAAGAAACAAAACAGGCAAGCTCTTATGCTGGATAACATGATAAACATGGATGGTTTTGCTGCTGGACGCTCTCTCCGTGATAGAAAACCTGTGACTTATACTTTTGGTAAGAGTATTGTAGTCCTCTCTTTACATAATTGTATCGATACGTAAGTGGTTCTATCTCCACTAAATTTGAAAGCTTTCCCTATAACTTATTACTATGTGCTTTTTCTTTCATTAGCTAATATTCTAGGTTTGGAGCGGGAGAGTGAGTTTGTGTCTGTGTGAAACAGTGAGATGGTTTGGTACCTTTATGGCTTGATTTTATCATGCAATTATTTATTTAACATCTTTTTTAAATCTGGAACTGTAGGGCTCAACTAGTTTTCAAGGTACCTATTTTAGCCAGCTTGTTGGAAATGATAGTGATTGCGGATTGAGCCTCCCGTATATTGGGTCAATTCGTTTGTGGGCCCCATACCATGGAAAAAGAAAGCCTAAAAGTTTCAAATAAGACTGAGAGTGTGTTTGAGATCCATTTTTCTTAAAAATGAGTTTTGCAATAGTGATTTTTTTGGAGATTGGGTGGTTAAGAAGTAGGAAAAAGTTTTAGGTTTACGTGCAAAATTATTTTATTGGAAGAATGTGTGGTTGAAAATGAGTTCTTAGATAGATTGTGAGCTGATAAGTGACAGAGAGAGGATGCACATGTAGATAATGGTTGCGATATTAGTTTAGCCTTTTAGATATTAGATTCTCCTTGGACTTTCCACAACCCCGAGTTATAATAGTTGTTTCCTGCAAAAGCTGTTTAGCTTAAATAAAATGGGTGCTATTGATACTTTGGGCATATTCAGATTGACCCTTTATTTTATATGCCTACATCTTTCATTAGTTAATCAATGGCTCTAATTTGTTCCATTTGAGGCCAATTATTCAATATCTGATTATCATGTTATGCTGACGATTTTGCAGATGATTACGATCGATCTATTAATGATGCCATCAAGGTCACCAAGTATGAATCTTACACCTAGAATCTCTCTTTCTCCGCTCATCTTTTCTTCTTCTTTTCTTTTCCTTTTTTTTTTTCACATGTGCTGACAACTATAGGATTTGTTTTTACATACCTATTCGTTTGCTCCCCCATCAGGAAGAAAGAATCATCCCCAGAACATTTTCTTGAAGAAGATTCTCTTGTGAAAAATGAAGTTACAACAAATGGTGGATTGGGTGTTCCGCCACAATATTCTCAGCATGAGTTCAGTGCACTGTCTCCAAAATCACCTGATGATGAGTTTTATGATGATCACCAAGCTGAGACACTGGAACGCAGGTACTCCATTCTGTCTCTCCTTAGTGTTCTTTTTTCATTCTCCTTCATTGATCTGTAACGAGAAGATTTTTCCATGAACTGTAGCAATCGTCGAAGGCAGAGGCCACAGCGGTATTCCACAGAAGAGTTCGTGGGAGCTGTCTCGTATAACGAGGTTGACTTTGACACTGATGATGATGATGACGATGTAGTTGGTGAAGTTGTATACAATGAAGAATATCTAAGGGGACGAAAGAAGAGGAAAATGTCAAGTAGCTCAGAAGGAGACGAAGAGTATCACTTGGATGAAGAAAATCCTGAAGAGGAAGAAGAAGAAGATATGTTAAGTACAAGCGAGGAGAGTGGTGGGCCCCGCAGATACAATACATTGCCAGGCCGTACCAGGAGGGAAACTAAATTGAGGTCAGTTGGTGAGCTCCCGTCAGGTCTTAGACGCAGTAATCGAGCCACCGGAAATCGTATCAATTATAAGCAGTATGAAATGTCCGAATCTGAAACCGAATCAGTGAAATCTGAGAAGTCAAGTGCTTTAGATGAGCACTCTAATGCAAGTGATAACGCAGAGTTTTCAATGGGAAGTCAATATTCTGATGAAGCCAGTGATAAGCAGGAGATGCATATCAATCAGCCTATTGAAGAACATCCCGAGGTGGGCAATAATGAGAAAACATGCCCGCCAGAGAAATCAGATAGCACTGGTCAAAACGAAGTTGAAGGTGTAAGGAAAAGGCGTTTTCTTGATCTAAATGAACTTGCTCCGGGTTCTGGCTTTGATGATGGTCCGAACTCCATGAAAGATGAAAATACAGACGACTTCTAAAGTCTCCTTCCCATCAACCAAAGCAAGGAAATGTAGGTTTTTCCTTGGAAAGCTGATTTGTACTATTCAAATCGTCTAAATTTTGTGATAAATTCACTCCACAATGGAAACAGTCATCAGAGAGCTCTACCTTTGTGAAATTAAAGCAGCGTCCTGCGTGCAGTTAATTTAGGTTTTCCTGCTGAGCCGCGTGATGCTGAGAAAATTATATAGATTTAGTAGATTTTTTGGCGCATCTACATGTGACTGAAAACAAATGAGTCATGGATGGGAAATTTGTTGGGAGTTCTATACTCTTTCTTATCCAGCCTCTGTAACATAAACCTTTTAACTGATTGTAAGCAAAGATTTCTCTTAGATGTTGTAGGCATACTGGCTGTACTTTTTCCATGGTAAAAGTAAAAACAATGGTCCAGTTAGCTGCATAAATGCTGGTCTGTTTATGCATTTTCTTGGTTCAGCATCCTGAGTACCTTGGGATTAGTGTGTCAAAATGGGACGAACCTCCAGGGCCCTTGTTCGGCCTGGCCCCGGCCATTTACACCCAGCTTTATCAACACCAATTTGATACTAGTTCTTGGCTTTGGAACAAGTTTCAAATGGACGATGAAATCTTGATGATCTTCTCTCTAAGGAATCTTCAATGTCATACTCAAGAAAAGCTCGAACAGCATTTTAAATAAAAGGCTACTTGTACCCGAAACCAAGGAATTAAAACATCCTCCCTGTATTTGTTCATGCTCTGCCTTCGCTTCCTCTAGGGCGTGGATCAGCTTTAGAATTCTAATAAAGCTAGTTGTTATACTCTACAATGAGTAAAGCCCAATGTACAAAATAATTGTTCACAGAATTCTTACCAACACTCACAATGTGTGGGTCCCACTAAAATAAAAAAAGCCAAAAAAATCCCTCCCTCCCACCCCTATTATGAGTGTTTGTAAATGGTCCATGAACCATAATTTCTATACATCAAGCAAGGTTCACTCTACAATTAGTATTAAAAAGTGGAGCTCTCTGTCAAGTAGGCATTGTCGAATTTGCTGATGCTACCAACACAAATTAACTACACGTATTTAAGGGAAGATCTGTATAAGAAAACGCCTGAAATTTTCAGTCAACTTGCAGGGGAGAATAATTTTATGGTACAAATGAAGAGTGCATTGCTCTAGTAAGCTTAATGAGAGTAAAAAACGAAACAGAAAAATCTGTAATCATATACTTGTTTGGGCTGCTATGATTCTGTGCTAAATTACAGAAAAAGATTTGCGGACGTTCATCGCGCACGTGTATTTACCCTGCATCTTTTCCATCTATCAAATGGAACTAGCCGAGACTGTCGAAGAAGAAACAAACCAACCTTGTGGAGCCCATAAACAGCTCTAGATATATACACAAGGTTCTGAGATCTACAATGTACCATTCAAGCACTGCGTCTCAGTTTCTTGGTCCTATGATCTTTACATTAGGATGGAATCTCAAGCATCATCTCATGCTGCAGCATAGAGGCCGGCCCAGTTGTTGCAATTTGGTCCACATACACATCATCAGCCTCGGAGACTGGTAGTGAGCCGTAATATAGTCTTGTACACACCCAAACTGGCAGAACTTCAAGCTGTGTACGTACTCTACAGGTCTAGAGCTATTAAATTTCTCCACCCACATTCCCATGCTTACGTCCTCCATTTTAAACAACTGCACATAAAGGAATCAGTCGGATAGCTTGCAAAAACAGTTACAACCTTCTACTGATTGGTAATGTTACATGCATATGTAAATGTATTATGGAAGTCAGTCGGTGGCATTTACCCTTAATTTACGTTTCTCGAAGTCTGAAACTACAAATTTTGCAATATCTGATGATATAATGTAGCCCGGCCCATTAGCATAGGGTGGATAGCTTTCCTCTGGCCATTCCTGAACCATTAGAAAAGTCAGAATAACAACACGAGCCTTCTTACCATGCATAGTGCCTAGAGATATAAATTTTATGAGCAGACCTCAAAAGAGCAAATTGATGATATCAAATGACGTAGTAAGATATATATCAAAAGAGAAGTCCGACATTATTTTTCCAGGTTCTCGTTAGTCTAGAAGACAGTTCAGAATCCCAGAAGGGTTATCGTTGTCCAACGAAACAGCAACAGCATATTGAATGTAGATGGCTAATAATGGCATGGGAAACTAGAAATTGTAGTTTCATTATGGAAGGAATCTGAAATTCTGATAACTATCAAATAATGAAAATCAATTTTTTCAGTAGTTTTTGCATAAAACTTGACTTTATTTTTGAGAAGATGAAGAGGATTTTAACACAATGAATCTGTAAACATAAAAACTAAATCTTTGAGCTGTCACCTTTAGTAAACCTAATGGAAACTTAAACTAATTATCATCTGGTTCATCACCAAGTGAACTTAAGCATGCTTTAGTGCTGACAATTGAAAATTAAATGAAATGAACCTTAGGGACATAAGGTGGATAACAGAATAAACATTAAAAGGACAGGGATAAAGAAAAAGAATAAATAAACAGTGAATCAAAAGGTTGAAATCGTACCTCATATGTCACTGCCCATTTACCTCTGCGTAGGGGCTTATGATAGTAATTTATATTTCCAATGTACAAGCTCCTGTTCTCAGGTATTTTCCTCGCTTCCTCAACAACTGCATCCACTCGCGCAAATGTGTCATCATCACCCTTCATAATATACTTGGCAGATGCTGCTTTAACCTGCAAGGCACCCAGCCTGATCAATCCTCGATATAGAAACAATCTCAATCCTCAACTTCTCAATTAAGCCACTACTTACCCCATATTCACAGATGGCAACAGTTTTCAAGATGACAAGGTCATAGTTGTCCATGTATGGTACTATGACAATGTCTCCAAAGAACTCAGCTTCTTTTTTTAATTCCACATTCACTTCTTTTCTTGCATGCTGTCGACAGATTGGTAGTATCAGAATTAATTTTGACAGTCTTCAAATCAAGAATTCATTTAGAAACGATGTCGCATTTTAATGTGAACCACTTTGTTCACCTACCAGTGCTACAAAGAAACGAGCAACAACATTGGAAGATTTGATTAGCCTATGCTGCATCCAAGACTTCCTCACGGCCATTCTTTCAGCAAAGTGATTACCTGCTGAAAGAATACCAACAAAAAGTTCAACAGGCCCATCTGGAAAACGTGGAGCCTTCCATCTGTTAGACATATCAAGATGTCTCTGAGGAGCAAAACTGGGATGTGAGGTGGGCAAGGAAGCGGCAAAAATAGAATGGACATCAATGTCCCCATTCAAATACAATCCAGTGGCATCCTCAAGTGCAAATCCCTAAAAAAATATTTAGTAAACTCTTAAGCAAAGTCCAATATAACATAAATCAAGACATTGGTACATTACTCACAATGCGATATGGAAACGAGGTGCAGTGCCTCCCATCAACGTGGACATGGTAACCCTCGAAGCCAGCACTAACTGTTAGGACAAATAAGTTGTCTTCAGTGAATGGAAATGGCCAATCAACAGAAACCTTCTTCGTTCGTCCTGTTAATCGGTTTAACCACCATGTTGCCTTTGATTGCTCCGAGCCATCATTGTCGTCTCTACTCCACTTTTCACATTTTGGCAAGCCATCAACTGCAGATAATTAAAAGAATCATTTATGAAGTGCAGTGCCTCAATAAAATATCACGAGTTTAGTGAATGACACATTAAGTTGCAGAAGCTGCTTAAGTTCAATACAACAGATCAGTAAGAAAATAGTAATTCAAAACAAAGCAGACTAACAGTCGTTCACATAGACAAGACTCTTCTCACTCTTTTCTTTATGCAGCCTGAGATTTCTTAGGAAGGGGGAAACTGGAATTAGCCTTTCAGACTCCGAGTGATTATATTATCCATAGAATTCTATTTCCCACTAGCCTCAGGGCAATTCCAAATAAGCAAAGCTATGATATCTTCTTTTCATTGGTTGCTGGATCACTATGAACCCTGTCAATTCCCTCTCATAAAACACATCTTTCACTCTTGTAACTTAGGTGAAAATTTTCCACGCACATAGTATAAACTGAGAGCAGCAAAGACATTCTATCAGAACCAGACCTATATATGGACAATATAGGCAAGTGAACTAATTACTACAATCATTTGCACTTTTTTGTTTAATCATCAAAGTCCATATTACAAGTATTTCCAATAACTTTTTAAGAATTTTTCGCAAAAGATAATATGAGATAAAATTACTTGATTCGGAAACAAACCGTGTTTCCATACTAGAATAAAGTGAAGTGATTCTTACTAACCAGACTCCTCATCAACCGGAGACTTCCACCCCTCGCACCGCTGTGCTGTCCCCCACTGCATCCTATAACAAGTGTTCTGCTCAATCACAGGTTTCCCACTCCAATCGCCTTTCAACCGCGGATTAAAATGCAGAATCCTTGGTGGGTCCTCCCCGTCCACCGTTTTCAAACCCTGCAACTCCATCATAAACTGCGAAACCATCAAATACTGCCCCTCCTTCAACAGAGAAATTTTTGGATCAGTCTCCACATGCGCCACCCTAGGCTTTCCGACCACCGTAATATGTGATCCCAACGTTAACCCACAAGGCAACACCATCACTCTCCCATTCTTCAAGAAAACGTCGCCAGATATGGACATAGATTGCGGGCACTCCTCACTTCTATTTCTGTTATTACTCCCACTTGTACTATTACTACTGCTGCCACTATTCTTCCCGATAAAATCAAGCTCTTGCCAGAGTTTTCTCCCAAGTTTAACAGCCTCTCTAGCAGACTTCAAAATCCCATTTTCCGAGCTTGAACTTTCAGTCCCTGCACTCAAATTCAAGCTCGATACCCGGGATATAACCAACTCCTTAATTAGGCGAATGGGGGCATCTTTTTCCTCCAAATTTTCCTCGCTCTCTAACGTGGAGTTGGAGATAGAGCGCCCATTACTATTACTAGAAAATTCGTCTTGAGAAACAGAGCCAAACCCATTTTCGAAAATCAAGGGAAATTCAAAACTCACCAAAAAAATGTAAAACAACCCAATAAAAATAAGAACCAGAACTGATCGGCGCCGGCTCAGAGAAGAGAATAGGTCAAATTTTGCTCTTTTCATAACTTTTCCAGTATTAAAAACTGAATTACAACCTGGTTTTGAGTTCAATTTCTAGTGACTGTCTCTACTATATTTTTGGTAAGACAGCAAAAAGAAAAAACCCAACTCTCATCAAAGAGAGAATTCAGAAAAACGGAGTGAGTCAGCAACCCAGCAGCCAGAGTTGCAACCGCTTTCTGGCGAGAGATGGCTACGTGTACACTGCTGTGTGTAAATATATATTAATTTTTTAATAAAAAATATTTTTTAGTAAAACTCATTTTTAATTAAACATTTTCTCAATAAAATAATTTTATATTTAAATTTAATTTTTTTCTCCTACTTTAACTAAGTATTCTTCAAAATAATTATTTTTAATATTTCATTAATATCTTAAGTGAGATTAATTAGTTTGAAGCTCTTTTCTTTAATTACAATTAGTACTCTTTTGACGACCCACAAAGAAAAGGTGATGTTGTTGCTTGCCATATGTCGCAAATGCATGAAAAGGACAAACAATTATTGCATTTACATGTCTTGTCTGAAATACAATAATTATTCAACTGTTTTATCTAAATTATGACATCGATATAAGTCTTACACGTCACTTCATGTACATGAGGATTATTTTTTCTTACGAAAAATTAATACGAGCACAATTCGGTTATACGAGCGGCTTCGAGAATTGAATTCAGAACGTTTGAATTCTATGTTGAATAATTTGATTTAAATTTTTTAAATCTTTAGTAAATTTAGTTGAATATTCTGATAAAAAAAAAGGGACAAAATCCAATTGGCTAAGACCTTGTTTGGTGGGGGGTTAACATTTGATTTTGATAAAAATTGATTAAATATATAATTAAAAAATTGTAAAACATGAAATATATAATTTAAATATAAATCTGAATTTTTCTCTCTTTAAATTTATGCAAAACATATCATTTCAGTTACTGCTGTACACATCTGGTCAACTATTTGACTATCTGTCTGTTGCGTTCTCTGCACACCCGGCGCATTTTAGAACTAAGCCAAAGCAATCACCCAACACAAGTTCCTATCCAAGCCCCCTCTCTATCCCCCAACCTCTAGAAAATACCCTATTCTAGGCTTCCTCTGCCCAACCCCACAACCACTACCCAAGAAAATTCTCCATTTTAGGCTTCCTCCACCACCGACGGGACTAAGTTAGCAGCATTACAACCTAAAACACCTATGGATCCCACAGACAAAAAGAACAACTTCACAACCAGCACTACCAAGCTCCGCCACCACCCCAGCAACCCCCTGCCAGATCCCACCACCACTCCCCCTTCTTCTATCCAAAGCATATCCAATCAGTTTTCCAAACTTTATGCAAATCACAAAAAACTAGCTTCCTTAAAAACCTTTGGTCGGCATTCAAAACCTCACTCACATTCACACCCTCAAGTTGACTCAAATTCCCAAGCCAAATCTCTGGATATTTCCTCTGTTTTGGACATTTCATGTGCCACTTTGACCAAGTCAAACAGCCAGCATCAAAGAAATAATTTGGCAGTGGCTCAGAAAAAGAAGAAAGAGCTGGGCACAAGAACCAAGATTAAAGAGAAGAACAATACATATGAAATCAAGAAATCATCATCCAAGAAATCTTATGAAGAATATGATGTGAAAAAGGCAGCTAATTTGATGTCAAGAAGTGCTGAAGGTGAACAAATTAAGAAATTGCAACAAGGGTCTGAAATTCCAAGGCAGTTTATCACAATGGATGGGAGGAGGAGGAGGTCATTTTGTAGTTCACAGGCTGAATTGGCTGATTTCTTCTCTTGCAGTGGTGTGAAAGTTGTGTCTGTTGATATGCCACCATTTATGCAGATTCATGCTGTGGATTCTGCAAGAAAAACTCATGATAGCTTGGAAAAATTCACTTCCAAGACCCTTGCTTTGACACTAAAAAAGGTAATTAAATCATATCTATTATCATTTTAGTTTTTTTTTTTTGGTTTGATCTATCTACAGATATTTATATGGTTTTTAATACTTGATGAAAGAGTTAATGGGTTTTTTCTAATTCTGGTTTTGCAGGAATTTGATGGGGTATATGGACCAGCTTGGCACTGTATAGTAGGGACCAGTTTTGGGTCTTTTGTAACACATTCAGTGGGTGGGTTCATGTATTTCTCTATGGATAACAAGCTACATGTCCTCTTGTTCAAGACAACTGTACACAAAGCACATTGAAATATTAAACAAGGAGGTGACATTCATTTCCTTTTAATATAGACAAAATTTATATATGTCTCCTCAATTGTTTGCACATTATTACAATGTTTGGTGACTTGCTGGTGTCTGAGTAGTGGACATTACTCGATAGTAGAATGAACAAGTTTTATACCTTTTTTTTTTGCCCTTTTCTTAACACAGTTTAATGTTATCCTATGCATGTTGTCATTCATTAGGTCTTTTTCAAGTGGCTAAAGATAGCTCAAGAAATATTTGTGTTCTTGGGATTTTGAGTATGCAAAACCTGTTTTAGTTAGATCACAAAGTTTATTCTTGTGATAAAGCATCTGGATTTCCTTTTTAGTTGTCAAATAATGATTGGATGATTTTCTATAGTGCAATATTTACTAGTGAGCAGTGCTCGAATTCGTTCTTATTTATCGAGAATCATCAAAACAAGCAAAAATACTATGGAAAATGCCATTTAGGGGGATTTGGAAATGATGCACAAGGGCTAATTCCCTCAACTACATAAAAATTTCACAAAATTCGGTTAGTATTTATGTATGAGTGTTGCGGAACGCAAAGATTGGGAATCTATGCCACTGCTCGTCTTCTCCTAAGGATTACCTCTGCAAAATATGTTAGTTTGGGAGATATTGTTTGGAGTGAAAAATGATTTTTTTGAGAGTGTGGGGGTTAGAAAGTAGGAAAAGTTATGGGTTTACACGCAAAATTATTTTATTCAAAGAATGTGTGGTTGAAAATGAATTCGAAGAAAAATTATTTTCAAATAAATTGTGCCAATCTTACATATATTGATATTGTCGACAACAAGCTAAACATATTTTATAGGATCCAGTCCACAAATATTACTATTTATCCACTATATTTATTTATAATTTAAACGGTCTATATACACCTTCCAAACATGCTCGTAGACAACTTAACATAAAATGAAAATAAATGTTCATTGCGAATTTTCAAATAAAATTTAGAACAAGTAATTTCTCATTTGAACCACTCAAAGGAGTACACTGCCATACCAAAAAGTTTAGGGGTGCAAGCGGTCTGATTTTTGACAAATTTTCAAATAAAACTATTTAAAATGGTTCGAGAAAAATCAAAACCTAAACCAAGGTATTGTGGAGCTTTTGGTTCTCAATGTTTGCAGCATGAATATTGAAGAAGATGAAGAGAGTTCTAACTTCGACGGATTGATTGATAGCAGGATTATAAAATTAGAGTAATTAATTAATAGACAATTGATCAAATTACCACAAATTTAGATTCCATTGTTCCCTTGAAACTTTTCGATTTCAACTTTGTTTAATAATATCATCGAATCTATATGTGTTATCGAATGACTTCATTACACAAGACTTTTAGCCGTGACAACATCTGTGAGTTCATTCTGCAAATTTATTAATGAAGTTCTCTTCCCATCAATTGTCAAAGGCTAACTACTCCAACCAATAACCTCGTACTCAAATAGATTAATCTGATCCATATGATTTTCTTGAAATTACCTTTTTGCAATCGAGGATTTAGTTCTAAGTGGACTCATCAACTAACGATTTTGAACTAAACAATACCTTCTTGAAACGGTTTGATTTGGGTTATAAACTTTTAACTACGATATGAAGTCAGTCCGGACCGACCGTTTAAAAAATAAAATATAAAAAGTAAACAATTTTAATTTCCATGAGAAATTAGACTAATATTTTACCGCCTTAACCTTCAAAATAAAATATTAATGGAGATCACCCAACTTAAAAGTTTATTTCATTCTAGTTATTTAACTTTGATTTGTCTCAAGTTTATTCCTTTTTGATGTGATTTTTCAATATTATTGCAACTCATCAAATTTCAGATTACGAAATTCAATTTATTCAGTTTACAAGATAAAGATTTCAGTTTATAATACTGTGAAATAACAATTTTACACAAATTTTCATTCGTATCGAATTATTCATACATGATCAAACTTTATTTTCAACCGCACATTCCTACTAACATCATTTCATTTTGCTCTACTAAATATACTGTTATTCAGAAAATTTCATTCATTGATTTCTTGGGGAGATGCATAAGAAATCTGTCTTAGTTGAATCTCTCTATTTCCCTTTGCTACAGAAGAACATGCAAACTTCAACCCCAAAAGTAGAAAGTATGCCAAGAAAAACAGTGTTAAGCGCCCAACTTGGATTTGATTTCATCAATCACTGTTTTTTCAACTTGAAAAGCCTTCTTTAAAACATCATCGGGAACAGAAGGCTTTGAAAGAAAAAGATTCAGCGGAACGACAACAGCACCAGGCAAATGACTGTTAAAAGCAGTGAAAATCAGGGCCTTTTCTTCTCCAATATTCATCTGGAAATGTATAAGTCCCTTAGGAATCACAAACATTTGTCCAGGAGTCAAGATTTTGGAGTAATACACATCCCCAGTTGTTATCAATCCAACGAGGAGTTTCCCGTTGATCAGTACTCCGATCTCTGTCGCTCGTGGATGGGAGTGGGGTGGATTTAGTCCTCCTGGAGCAATATCGACTCGATTCATGGCGATCCCGAGCGTGTTGACGCCCGGAAATTCCTCAACATTGCCTTGGGTCACAATACTTCCAAATGGATTACTCGTGTTTCCCTCTTTGCTTAGCCCGTCGAAAAAGAAATCGTCTGAAGTGACTTTTGTGGCTGGCTTGCACGGAAATCCATTAACAGATAACTCGCTTTTCGTGTCCCCGATGCAAAAATCCTGCAAAGGATCAGGATCTGAAGATTGAGAAGGCAATGGAAATAATAATAATGATCCTATCAGGAACAACACTGTGAACTGAACATAGCAGCCTGAGTGGTTTTTCACAATAGCCATGCCTTGTTGTTTTAGGCTGAGCAAATGAATTATAGAGTAATTCATCTGTCAGTAGCCATGTTTATATATTGATATTATCTTCAAGAAAGTCGTATGGATCAGATTAATCTATTTGAGTAAGAGGTTATTGGTTGGATTGGTTAGCCTTTGACAATTGATGGGAACACAACCTCACTGAGGGCATGTTTGATAGGCTATTTTTTTCCATGAAAATTCAATTTTCCACTTTTTCCACTTTTGATAGCCAAAATTTTCCATGGAAAATATTTTCCTCCCACCCCCCACGTGGCCCTTCTTTCCATGTTTTTGTTGAATTGGTTTTCCCACAACTTTGGTAAGAAAATGGTTTCCAGCTTTTTTTTTTTTTTTTTTT